AATTACATACTTATTCTACGACAAGTTATACTTTCGATTATGTTGTTTTTTTGGAATATGACGTTTCGATCCGCAAGCATGCATACCGCTGAAAAAGAATCACTGCTAACAATTGTAATTTATATTCAATATCTAGTCTATTGCCCGCGTTTTATTTTAAGGCAAACTGATGAAAAAATGAAGATAAAAGAAAAACCAAATCTTGGTGAGAAACTTAGATTTGAGCATTGTAGTCTTTCAGATGAATTGTTCTAGAAGAATGATCTTAGTTATTATTTAATTAATATGTACATTAAATGTAAAAGAACCTTTTTTCTTTCCAAACCATAGAAAAGAGAATTGGTGGTATGCTTGCAATTTACATAATAGTCCAACTAACACAACTGGAGAAAATGACCTTGCAGAAAATTTGGACAAACTAAACTTTGATTTTTTTTCTTTTCCCCCCATATTTTTCTTTCATTGATTTGATAATTTACCTAAAAATTAAGACAACAAACTATAAGGGACACACAACATAGGAAGATATATCATTGTTGAGTATATCTTACTGTTATACTAAATTAGTCATTAGACTACGAAATAAGGCACTTGTCCTCTGATTTATTTATTTTTGTTTATGTGGCATTCTCTGTTTCTTACCTTAACATTTCAGTAAAATATTTGAGACTTAATTGCCTAGTGTTTGAACAATGAAGTGAGTTGAGTATTGTTTAAAGGAGCAAATGGTGGAGCCCGCGGTGAACGGGACCAAATATGTGATCCGTGCGGCTGCAGAAGCCAAAGTCCGCCGTGTGGTGTTTACCTCGTCGATTGGTGCGGTTTATATGGATCCAAACAGAGACCCAGAGAAAGTCGTGGACGAGACTTGCTGGAGTGACCTTGAATTTTGCAAAAATACCAAGGTTTGTTTGCACACTATTAGTTTTGCTGTCGTACATGTGCGAATTTACAGATGATTTGGAAGATCATGTTGTTAGATTTCAGTTATTACCTTCTGTTATATTTTAGTAGTATATATTAGTTGTTTTCTCCTTAACTTTGAATTTCATTTCTTTCTCATCTTCTTTGTTCTGTGGTTCACTGGCACTGACAGTTCTTGTAATGCTACTAGCATGCCATCCAACTAAAAAAATGGGGATTCACGTATTTCAGTTAAAAGATCTGAAGTAGCGAAGCCCTGAGTAAAAATAGCACTTGGCCTGATTATTGTGCTTGGAACTATATGAATAAGGGAAAACTCCATGAAAGAAAGATTAACGATTCACCACATTTTTTTAACCAACCTCTGGGGCTTCAAAGGCTACAAAATCAAGAAATTGGAGCTCTTATATATGGCTTCCCTTTTCGATGGTGAAATAATTGGTTCTACTTGGCCTAAGGCATTCTTCCACTTGGCCAGATACCCATTCTCAAGTAGATCTAAGCCATTATATCCATCCAAATAATTCATCCTTTTTCAGTCCCCCGTAGGATATTAAGAGGCTATGAAAAAAAACTTCAACATAGAGAGAAATATGTTTAAAGCTATGCTCTGCTCTGCTCTGCTCTGGTTTTCTTGATTTTGTAATTAAGCAAATGTTTTGCATGGTTTTCCCAGAACTGGTATTGCTATGGCAAAGCGGTGGCAGAGCAAGCGGCATGGGACACTGCTAAGGAGCTTGGGGTCGACCTTGTAGTAATCAACCCAGTCCTTACACTCGGTCCCATGCTTCAGCAGACTGTGAATGCCAGTGTTCTTCACATACTCAAGTACTTAACAGGGTCTGCAAAAACCTACGCCAACTCCATTCAGGCCTACGTGCACGTCAAGGATGTGGCCTTGGCCCACCTACTCTTGTTCCAAACACCGGAAGCTTCCGGAAGGTACTTATGTGCCGAGAGTGTGCTCCACCGTGGTGACGTGGTCGAGATTCTCGCCAACTTATTCCCGGACTATCCTATCCCTACCAAGTAAGTTCCATACTTTTCTATTAGTTGTATAGAGATGCTCTAATGTGTGTGTTGCATAGGACTTAATGGCTAATGAATAATGACAAGTGAACTAACTGAATGTTGGTCAATCCAAAACAAACCTAAGATTATATGTTGTGTTTGGTAAGAATTTGTTTTGAGATTTAAAATTGTTGACTCGCGCTCTTTTTCAAATTGGTAGACCAAACCTACCCCATGGCCATTGTCATATATGGGCCTACATCACCAACCACCTTTCTAAATTGTAAGCAAAACCTTTAGAATTTTTCTGATGTAAAGATAAATTTGGTTTGGCATGTGCAGGTGCTCAGATGAGAAGAACCCAAGAAAAAAACCATACAAATTTTCAAACCAAAGGCTCGTTGACTTGGGCATGGAGTTCACGCCGGTTAAGCAGTGTTTATATGATACAGTCAAAAGCCTTCAGGAAAAGGGCCACCTTCCTATCCCAAATCAGGACAATGAGCCCATTTGTAATCAGTCTTAGTGCCTTACATAATATTTAGATCTGCTTACCATGTTATCTGCAGTCTATAGTGTAGAAAAGTTGGCACAATTATGTATCATCACCCCTTTGCACAAGAATAATCGTTAATGGAATTAATATATGTTCTTCAAAGGTGCTAATGCTGTTAATATGTGGAGCCAATTGAATACATGGCTCTACTGCGTAAAGCACTTTGATTGACTTGTAAAGTCAACGTGGGATTCATGTGTTGGTGAATGTTTTTTGCCGATTATGTTTGTAAAATAAATTAATTAATTTATTAAACATATTACAGAAACGAAATAATGTGGTACAAATGAGCTCCTAATATATTCTTTTTTTTTTCAAAAATAATATAACGATGTCCTTATATAGACATGGCCACGGGCCGAACCGGCCCGTGGCCCGGACTGTGAACCGGTACCGAACCGGCCCGGACCGGCCCGTAACCGGTCATATTCGGGCCGGTCTGTTGGACCGAACCGTAAGGGTCGCGGTTCGGTCCAGGGTCACTGCTTTTTTTTTTTTGCACCGGNTATATAAAAAGCATGGTTCTAAAAACCAAACCGGTTATGAAATCGGTGAAGCTACTGGTTTAGTGGTTCAAACATATAGTCAAACTTCATAATTAATTATATGGTGATGCAACATGAATATTTATTTCATCTCTATATAAATAAGTAATATGATTCAACATCTCTATACAAGTACTAAGTAGCTTTACATAGTACTTAGTGTTATAAAACTAGAGAGAATAGAGAATAGAGAAACTGTATTATTTTGGTGTATTTTTCATTATAACTGAAGCCCCTATTTATAGGAAAACTTTTGATGGCACAATTGTAATAATACAATTACATCAAGGACAAAATAGTCATTCACAATATTATTTTACTCCCCTCATGCTCCTCATGCACAATATTATAACACTTAGTACTTACTTAATACTTACCATGAAAAGCTATTGGTTACAATCAATCATAGTACTTATTTATTTCTCCTTTTGATTCACATAGTTAATGTTGATAATAGTTATAAGTTTACATCCATTTTGTAATTTTTCTTATTAGTATGAAGATTTCATATCTATATAAGAAAAATATACCATAATGAATTTATAATTTATTTTATAAGATACTTTTAGGTTATTTATTATTTAAAATAGTATTGATATAAATACTATTTTATATCGATGGAAATAATTATATTATTTTTACTTTATTTACATTACATTGGTCAAATAAAACACCATTAGAAAGAAATGATGTGATATATTACATATAAAAACGATAACAAATAAAAACATATTAAGTATTTCTAAATTGAAAATTTTAATTGTAGAAAGTAGTTAAATTTATCAATTGAGTTACATTTCTTACATATTAAATAGTAGATAATTAAAATAATTATTATTTTATATATGTAATATGATATTTGTATATTATATTAAAAAACTAATACCAAATAAAAAGTTATTTAAAATTGCAATAATTAGGTTTTTTTTTTGTTCAATTTTAAAAGTTCTAACCTACATTGATAAAAATACAAATAACTATTGTCACACCCAAAAATTACACATAGAACTAATAAGCACAATAAATAACAAAGCGTTGAACAATTCGGCTCGCTTACATCAATAAGTGCAAGTTTTAAAAATATTATATTTAATTTTATTAGTTATGAATTTTTTATTTATTAATTTTTTTCATATTAATTAGTAAGTGTTACAACTTAATTATATTTATCAAATTTAATATAATCTTTTTCTTTATAATGTTCTTTCATATGTGTGTGTGTGTGTATACAACTTTTAGATTTTTAAAAAGATGCATAAAATTGAGTATAAAACTTTTCATTAATTGTATATCTATAAGTCATAAAATCATTTAAGAATATTAAGATAATATCAATAAATAAAATATTTAATATAGAAAATTTTTAATTCTTATTGTTTATTTAGCGCCCATCTTGGCTAAAAAAAATAATAATAATTAAAATATCATTGTAGCACCCCAGTCGATATTAGAAGACATCTCGATTATTCATTTTATTATGCACTTTATTGCATTCAGATTTCTATGCTCGACAAGTTTTTTGGAATTAATTAGACATTAGTGTCTAATTACTCCGTTAAGAGAAATAATTTATTTAGACGTAGTGTGTATTTAAATTATTCGAATTATCGAATATTCGTTAGATATTCGATTTTATTCGAGGTATTTATTTAGTAGCCGTCGAAGCCATTTTAAGTTCGTTTCGGCCTCATCCATTTTATTGCTTCTCCATTCCTTAGCATTTATCGAGATCAAATAGTGACATGATTGGTATGATAGAATGAAATTTCGTAGGAATGGAATGAATTGAATAATTGAATGATTATGAGAATGGAATGAAAAATGTTTTGTCATTGATGCGTTTGGTATGCAGAAGTAATATGACTGGAATGGAATGACATTATCATTTTTTATTATAAAAATAAATAAAATATTTTTTTTAAGAAATAATATACTTTTAATAAATTATATATAAATATTTTTTTAATAATATATAAAATAAAATACTATATTTTTAATAATATATAAAAATAAAATAATATATTTTTAAATTATATATTAAAAATAATATATTCTTAAAAGTAGTATATTTTTAATATATAAAAAATAATATATTTTTAGTAATATTTAAAAATAAAAAGTAATATATTTTTAATAATATATATTTTATTTTTTAATTAAACAGTAAATAAAAGTAAGTTTTTTTTATTTTTATATAAGTTTAATATATCTAAATAAAAAATAAATAAAAGTAAGTTTTTAATTTTTTTATTTGATTTTTTTTAAATAATTTTATTTAATATAGTTTAATCATGATTTATAATACACATTATATATTTATTTTTTATTATTATTTGTTAATTTTATTTATTGAAAAATTGATTCCTACACACATGAGAATGAAAAAACCTACAATTTACTATAGAATGGCTAATCCCATGGAGATGGGTTTTGGCATTCCCATTGGAATGGTCATTCCTTCTTAAAAAATATACCAATTATGAGATAAGAAATGAGTAAAATAATGATCATTCAATTCTCATGTCATTCCTTCCTACCCATCATAGAATTTCTTTCTAGCCGTTTAAAACTAGAATTTCAGACTAGCCGTTTTAAAACTAGAAAGAATGGCCCTGTATATTTGTTCGGCCCAAATTGCGAGAAAACTAGGCCCAAACTCTGTAAGATTCGCCCCAATATATTTTTCCTTCCACTGAGCCGACGCAGATTGAAAGCCCCTTTCTTCTTCGCTCAATTTCTCGCCGCAAACCCTAGCTTTCGTCGTCCCTTAAAATCGATCACTCCCAGACTTTAAATCGCTCGAAGGTCACAGCTCTGTATTGCCATATCTCAGCCTTCATCATTCATCGCCTACATAATCCCTCAGCCTGTCGCGCCTATCACCTCGGTTCGGCCAACCTGCAGACGCCGTACGACCGCCGTGAGGGAACCAGTGAGCAGCGACGTTTTCAGCGGAGACGAGGAAACTTAGGCGACCTTCAGGCGGCACGACCCGTTCCCTCATCTTCCTCCATCGGCGAGTAAGTAGCAGCCGTTGCCGTGAGTTTCAGAACAGCAGCGGCCGCGTGACTTCTTCCGACGAGCAGCAGGTCCAGTCGACCTTCTTCAGCAGAATCTAGAAGTGCCAGCATGGCGGGGAGCATCGGAGTAAAAATTAATTGGTAAAAATACTATTTTCACTTTGAACTAATACCACCTGGCGATTCAAAATCATTTTAGCCTTTACCCCAAAGCATATCATCACTCGTAAGCCCTGATTATACAGCCGCGGGGAGCATCTCTGCCGGTTCGCCTCTACGCCGCTGCGCCTCCTCCACTTGCTCTCCGCGTGTCGATCTTTCTTCTCAGATCCGGATTTCTCGTCCCAAGTCTCGTCCCTCATTTCCACACAAAAATGGTCACAGCTCAAACCCTTAGTAGAATCATCCAGCCCAACCGATTTCCTCCATCAGCTCCTCAATCTCGAGAGCTTCAGCTCGGACCACGCACTATCCTTCTTCAAATGGTCCCAGCAAGCTTTCGGCCTAACCCACTCTATCGAACACCACTCCAAGCTCTTTATTCTGCTCGCCAATGACAAAAAGTACCCCAAAATCAGATCATTCCTGCATTTGTTTGTGAAGCAGAGGAAGGATATATCTGTTTCCGCTTTCTGCCATGCGCTCTCCACTGTCAGCGACAATTCATGCGCTAACAGCATCGTTCTAGACATGTTCGTGAATTCCTGCTTGAAAAACGGGAAGCTTCAGCTGGCGCTCGAGGGTTTTAGGCGGGCTGGGGATTATGGGTTCAAGCTCTCCGTGCTTTCGTGTAATCAGATGTTGGCTGCATTTGTGAAGGACGGCAAAGCAGGGATTGTGGATTTCATATACAAAGAGGTGATTAGGAGGAGGATCCGTCCAAATGTGGTCACTTTCAATACTGTGGTCAACGGGTTCTGCAAGGCAGGGAAGCTTAACCGTGCGGGTGATATATTGGAGGACATGAAGATAAATGGGCTGGTGCCGAATGTGGTCACCTATAACGTGTTGATCGATGGGCACTGCAAGAGGGGTGGGCCTGGGAGAATGCAGAAAGCTAATGCATTGTTTAAAGAAATGGTGACGAAAGGTGTGTCCCCAGATGCCATCACGTATAACACTCTCATTCATGGGTTTTGCATGGACGATAATGTGATTGCAGGTGTTAGATTGCTTCAAGAGATGAAAGACCAGGGCTTGAGGCCTAATTTGGTCACTTATAATTCGTTGATCCACGGATACTGTAGGGATGCAAAATTCGACGAGGCCTTGGCTCTGAGAGGTGAAATGTTGGAATCAGGCTTGGAACCGAGTATTGTCACTTATAATGAGTTCATCCATGGGTACACGAAGAAGGGAATGCTGAGGGAGGCCAGGGAGTTGTTTGATGATACCGTGAGTGGAGGGGCTGTTTCTGCTAATCTTTTGACGTATAATACCATAATACATGGGTACTGCACAGCGGGCCAAATGGAGCAAGCTGTGGCTCTATTTGGTTCAATGCTGGATAAAAACGTCTCTCCTAATGTCTCGACCTACAATGGCTTGATCGGTGGGTATTATAAGTCTGGGAACCCCGACGAAGCCCTGAAGCTTGTGGCGGAGATGGAGGAGAAGGGCTTGAAAGCCGATGTCATGACCTACACAATAAGGATAAGCGCTGTATGCCAGAGGCTCGAGATGAGAAAGGCAGTTAGGTTACTTGATGAGATGTGGAGAAGAGGAGTGAACCCAAGTCACGTGACGTACAATGCCATTATAGCTGGTTATATGAAGCAGGGGCAGAGCATGGGAGCTTTGGCTGTGAAGAAAAGGATGGAGAAAGAGGGCAAGCGGCCGAATGTGGTGACATATAATGTATTGATCAGGGGATTTTGTGAGGGTGACAAAATGGAAGAGGCGAATAGGTTCCTGAACGAGATGTTGGAGAAAGGTTTAGTGCCTAATAAGATCACTTATGAGATAATTAAGGCGGGAATGGTGGAGAAGGGATTCATGCCAGACATAGATGGGCATCTTCATAATCATTCAGCTAAATCTTAGCTGGTGAGTTCTGCCTGCGGGCCTGCACATGCTTTATTTTCTTGGGTCCCAATTAGAATGTTTGTTGGTGCTTATTTCTCCCATAATCTCTTTTGTTCCAGGTTGAGGTCACAGATTCAGCTCTTCTGGTTTTGATTGAGAATTATTGTAGAGAGGCGGTTTGGAATCTTCAAAAGCAAATTGAAAAGATATATCTGAAGGTGTCCATGTTTTAATTTTTTTAACCTTGTTTGTTTTTGTACTGAATGTGTTCCAGAATTTCATTTGGTAATCATAATGATATCCATAAGAGTTAAAGAGAATGACTATGACACTCATATTAATTGTGTGTTATTTTTTTTAACTTACAGTTTCTTAAATTTATGGACAGATTGCTGTAAAGCTTGTGTGCGAAAGAGTACATATTGAGCCTGTCGCTGGTGGACTGTGATCCCAGCTGATGAGGTCACGGCGAAATCTGATTCTCCATCCACTCATGAAACTGTGATTGAAGGGACAGAGGTCGAATCTATAGTTAGGGCTAACATGGATGGAAAAGTCTGAAAGTGTTGCAAAAGCTGAAATATTGGAACCCTCAATTGGTCATGCTCCAACTTCTACTGACCACTTTGGCATTGCAGAGGTATCTAAGTAAAATATGTTCTCTTACTTCCTGATTTTCCCCCCTGTACTACAAAGTTTACAAAGTTCTGAAGTCAGAAACTATTATTCCTCTTGTATTCGTTCATCTGATGGAACTTGGGCTTACTTTCTCTTAATATGAACCGTATTAAGCTTTAGCAATATTTTTAAAACTGTGATAAGGGAAGTGTGTTTTTTTTGCACATTAACCAATTTCCACTCATAACATTCTTTTCTCTTTTAGCAAAATTATCAATGCGCACTTGTAAGTTGTAACATTCTTTTTAAACTGCAAATAAGCATCACAAACGGATTTTTTACTCCAATAAAAAAAAATAAAAAATTAATTGGACAAAAACAAAAACAAAAAAAATATGTGGACAAAAATCAAAAGCTCGTATTCTGAGAATATATTGTAAAACGTATTCTCGGAATACGTTTTAGTGTCAATTAAATTAATCACGTAGTTAAGTTAATTTAATCAACTTAAAACGCATTTCGAAAATACGTTTTATAAATAAAATTAATTTTATAATTTATTTATTGCAGAAAATAAATTTAAAAAAACAAAAAACGCATTCCCAACATGCTTTTTATAAATAAAATTAATTTTATAATTTATTATTGCAGAAAATGATTTAAAATAAAACGTATGTCTAAAATACGTTTTATGTAAACATTAAAAATTTAAATTTTTTAAATTTAGAAAAAAGTAAAACGTATTTTGAAAATACATTTCAATTTTGCCCTAAATCGTATTTTCAGAATTTGTTTTTCAATTAAAAAAATAAATGTAAAACGTATTCCTAGAATACGTTTTACTGTGCAGAAAAAATAAAAAAAAACACATCGTTTGTCCGGATACATTCCATAACCAAATATCAATTCGACAAACTGATATTAATACATTCGTCAAATAATAATCTAACATACACTATATGCAAAAAGGTCAACCACAATAATTTATTCAACAAACAAATATGTCAAAATATCAATACACAGAATTCAAGAAAAAATATCAACAGAAGGTCCACAAAATTCACCGAATACAACACAAACTAACTAGGAGTGAATGGATCCTTAGGTCTTCGCTGTCGGGACCCCTTTCGAGGCTTTGGTCGTGAAGAAGATGAGGCTTCACCTTTCTTCTTTCTGAGAGGCGTGTCAACTTCAAAATCCGACACGTTCTCTTTACCTGAGTTATTAATTTTTTCAAAAAATCACAAATTCGACTAGACAATAAATAAAAAAAAAAAAAAAAATCATTTTTTTGTTAAGTAAAAAATTCTCACCTTCTTCTTCCTTAGGCCCGGTATTCTCAAATTGGAGGTGCTGGGGAGACGGTGATTGCTTGGGCGTCATCGTCGTTCTTGCTGCCGCTGTTGTTCCCTCCTTCTGACAAGTTCATTTTCGCGGTCACGGCCCCGAGGTCTTCTACCTCCACCAATGTTGGCAGTGGGTTTATGCCTCGCTGTCTGTGACTGTGTCCTCTGGGATGGGATGTAGTACTCATCGGATAGAACTTGACTGAACGGCGCCCCTTGTGTAACATCTTGACCTCTAACAGTCAAAGAACTATAGACAAGGTTGTAGGACTGTTGGAACTTGGAATGCGACCTGCGCCCGCGGAAGGAGTGTAAGAATTATGTCTTGAATACTCATTAACGAGTTATAAACCACCTCCAGGGTTTGAGTCTGAAAATAAAATTCAAGGTATTTACTATGAAACACAAAAAAAAAAAAAGAAATAATAAAAAAACCACAAATTATGAACACTTAAATCGCACTTTTCCCGCTCGGCAACTGGCTGATAGCCGCCGTCCTGTTGGAACACCGTGTACTTGGTAGGGTCACTGATGAGTCTCACAGTCCTACTGTGAAACCAATCAATGTAACCCTCCTCAGCTTGTAGGAAGTCATCCATAAGGGCATCTGGAAGGATATTTTGTTCTCTTTCTTCAACTCAACCATTTCTAAGCTCTGAATGAAAGGCGACCCAATCACCAAATGCCCTCTCAGTCATTCCGTGGCCTCGGTGGTGTCTGTCCCATTCTTGCTCACCCCTAATCATCGGAATTTGGGGATGAACTGCTGACACCCAAACTGATGAAGAACCCTATTAGACAAGTGGACTTCACGAATGTTCCAACAGAAGATCCATCCCCTATACATCCAAATATGTGGATCTTCTGTACACTCATCCGGGAGAGTACCAGCCTTCAGGTACTGATCATAGGGCACCCAATCTAACTATAAAAAAAAAAATTGAATTAGGATTTAAGTTATAAAAAAATTAAAAACAAAATACAAAGATAAACTAAACAATAGGACTTAAGAATCTTACATCCGTTTCACTCAGTCCTGTCAATTGATCCCGGACAACGGTTGTTCCCTTGCCTATTTGTCAGGTCCTTCCGTATCACCCACCTTAAAAATCACATAAAAAAACACTTTGTAATCACAAAATTTGATAATGGAAATAACGTAAGTATTAAATATAAATAAATGTGATTACCTTGCACTTAAGAGACAACCAGATTGAGATAAAAGTGCGTGGATTTCATTTTTGGGCGAAGACGAGGGATACGGTCCCATGCCCAAACCTACACATATCGACATATGTATTTGTTATTAGATATTAGTCTAAATTAGAATAAAAATAATGAATTTTCAAATAAGAGTAAATAAATGTACCTGAATCACTTGCACACAACTATTGATCTAATTTTCCCCGGCCCTGTAGGTTGTGCACAACGCTCTATATACTCCGGCCAGGAGTGCTGAACCCTAGCTGTACCCCTTAATCCCCTTGATGTCCTCCAACAGCTGCAACCAGTAAAGATTGACTCCATTAGCCCGCTGGTCAGGGAAGAAGAAGGATACAATGCACCACAATATAAGGGCCCTCGCCCTCTGTTCGTAGACGTTGGTGTGTAGTCTATCTGATAGCTCTGTGTTGCATTCCGTTTTAACCCCAGAGTCTTCATAAATTGGCCTGAAATGGCTCAAGTTCTGGGGTCGTACGCCGGGTCCTCTTCATCGGTGGTGGGGGATCCTGGGAGTGGTTTATATATATTAAAAACAAAATAATAGAGTATACATAAAAAAAATTGTAGTAAAAAATAAACCTGGACATACGGCTCAAACTCTAGCAATTCCGAACACGTCTCGCAATCTACCGTCTCCCCAACAAGCAGCTCCATTGATTGGGAGACCAAATAGAACTTGTACATCCTGAAGCATGATCGTGGCCTCCCCGTAATCAAAGTGGAAGGTATGCGTCTCCGGTCGCCACCTTTTCACCAGACAGGTAATGAGGCTGTTGTCGGTCTGTACTCGGCCCATTCGAAACAGCGGTCCAAAACCGGTCCTGTCGATCACCTCTCAAACCCTCAAATACTGCTTTTGCAAGGCATGCCAAAACTGAGTGTCGTAACGGCGGTTTGTAACAGCGTCGTTGCGATATCCCTCTACATCTTCATACCGGTAGCGGTTATTTGAAGATATAGAGGGATATCGTAACGACACTGTTATAAATCGCCGTTACGACACTCAGTTTTGGCATGCCTTGCAAAAACAGCATTTGAGGGTTTGAGAGGTGATCGGCAGGACCGATTTTAGGCCGCTGTTTCGAATGGGCCGAGTACAGACCGACAACAGACTGATTACCTGTTTGGCGGAAAGGTGGCGACGGGGGACGCATACATTCCACTTTGATTTCGAGGAGACACGATCACGCTCCAGGATGTACAAGTTCTGTTTGGTCTGCCGGTGAATGGAGCTGCTTGTTGAGGAGTGACTGTATAAAACACCCCAACAATGGCGAGAAAAGTGAAAGGAATTGTTAGGGTTTGAGCAGTATGTCCAGGTTTATATTTTTCTACAATTTTGTCCACTCCATTATTTCGTTTTTAATATATATAAACCACTCCCAGGATCCCCCAGCACCGAGGAAGAAGCCGCGACGTACAATCCCGCTACTTGGGCCATTTCAAGCCAGTTTATGAAGATTCTGGGTTAGAAATGGAATGCAACAGGGAGCTACCAGACGGACTACACCCCGGAGTTTACGATCAGGGGGCAAGGGCCCTTATACTGTGGTGCATTGGATCCTTCTTCTTCCCTCACCAGCGGGCCAATGGAGTCAATCTTTACTGGTTGCAGTTGTTGGAGGACATTGATGGGATTAGAGGGTACAGATGGGGTTCGACGCTAACGCTGTGCACAACCTACAGGGCCGAAAAAAATTAGATCAAGAGTTGTGTGCAATTGATTCAGGTACATTTATTTACTTTTTATTTGAAAATTCATTATTTTTATTCTAATTTAGACTAATCTAATAACAAATGCATCTGTCGATATGTTTAGTTTTGGGCATGAGACCGTATCCCTCATCTTCGCCCAAAAATGGAGTCCACGCACTCTAATTCTCAGCCTGGTTGTCCCTTAGGTGCAAGGTAATCACATTTATTTATATTTAATACTTAAGTTATTTCCATTATCAAATTTTCTAATTACAAAGTGTTTTTTTTTGTGATTTTTAAGGTGGGTGAGATGGAAGACCTGAGACACATGAGCAAGGGAACGGCCGCTGCCCGAGATCAATTGACAGAGCTGAGAGAGACGGATGTAAGATTCTTAACTCCTATTGATTAATTTATCTTTGTTTTTAATTTTTTTATAACTTAATTCCTAATTCATTTTTTTTTACAGTTCGATTGGGTACCCTATGATCAGACCTTGAGGCTGGTACTCTCCCGGATGAGTGTACAGAAGATCTACATATTTGGATCTATAGGGGGTGAATCTTCTGTTGGAACATACGTGAAGTCCACTTGTCTGATAGGGTTCTCCGTCAGTTTGGGTGTCAGCAGTCCATCCACCAAATTTCGATGATTAGGGGTGAGCAAGAATGGGACAGACACCACAGAGGCCAGAGAATGACTGAGAGGACATTTGGTAATTGGGCCGCCTTTCATTCAGAGCTTACCAAGGGCTGAGTCGAAGAAAGAAAACAAAATGTCCTCTCATATGCCCCTGTGGATGACTTCCTACAGGTTGAGGAGGGTTACATTGATCGACTTCACAGTAGGACTGTGGGACTCATCAGTGACCCTACCAAGTATACGATGTTCCAACATGATGGCGACTATCAGCCATTTGTCGAGCGGGAGAAGTGCGATTAAGTGTTCATAATTTGTGGTTTTATTATTATTATTATTATTATTATTATTATTATTATTATTTTTGGTGTTTCATACTAATTACTTTGAATTTTATTTTCAGATTCAAGCCCTAGAGGGGGTTTCTAAC